TGCTGAGATGTCTGTGCTATACTCGGCCGGGGCTGTTTTAAAATGCATGATTCCATAGGCAGCAGACAAGATTTATTTGTGGGCAATATAATAATTGAATACCGCAGACTTTTCACTTGCCTTAAAGGTGCACTGCTCAACAATTCTAGTTGAGGGCTGACGTTCAATGTCATACCATGGGACATTTCTGGGAAAACAATAGGTACACAAAGACAAAAAGGTAGCGGACCCTCCACCAGAAAAGTTGCGCAATGCACTTTTGAAGGTACAGTGTGTAACTTTTTGGAAGTTTGCGAGTGTGACCACCAATACTTTCCCTGTCATCAACCCAAAACATGCACCATAAATAAAATCTTCCAACTAAGGTAGTCCTGACCAAGACTTGCTCAAGATCTGGAGATGGGTCCCACTGGTCCTGACAGGTTTAACCCAGAGACATTGAAGGGTGGGTCAAATACAGAAGACAAATTTCACTATGGGAAAAATAAAGTGTTCCTTATCCATGAAATTGTGACATGGGTATTCCATTAGCTACTTAGAAATAGGTTTGCAGCCTCATGTGCTTATGTAACTTTGCTGGTGGGATGGTCTTCCATCAGCTGGTCTTCATGAAGATATTATTGGTTTGATGAGAATGTTTCACTAGTCTGATTCATCAGCCAGTTTCACTTCATAAAAACCGTCTGACCTCGCAGTGTTAGAATTCGTTCGCTCGACGGTAGGTGGGTACTTTTTAAAATTTAACCAATCGCTGCTATTTGGTCTTGACGTATGTAATGCGCCGCTAACGGGACTAACTGGTATATTAAGCTTTTCCCAAATCCCGTAGGAAGAAGGGCAATAATGTCTTTCCCCTTTGATAAAATTCACCAAACATTCTCTTTTTTCCGGCTTTAAATCCTCGATCTTGGGAATCGTTGCCAGCACAGAATGTATGGCTCTTCACTGACTGGCTGGTGCCCGAACTCACACTTCTAGGGTTTTTGCAAACTGTCTAGTGTATTCTGATTCCTGACCTAGTCGCTGAAGAGAAATAAAACTGTGCGGAGGCACTAGGTGGCGCCAGCCTGGCTAATGCTTCACAGTATGGCTTTAAATTAATTTTATTAGATTTATTTTATTTATCCATCTTGTATTTATTCAATTACATTATGTTTTTAATTGGTAATTAATTATGGTTATTAATTACAGTTTGACTTGTAACTTGGTGGTGGATTCAGCTGCTTATCTCCAAGATGTACATATTTAGTGCCATATTTAATTTTATTTATTTAATTATTATTATTCGTAATGATTTTTTACTTTATTTAACACTTTCTATCTATTTTTTTTTTTTTCATTCATTTGTGTGTGCAGCACCTTCACAAACTGTCATGTTTATAAAATGCGCTATATAAATAAAGTGGATTGGATTGGAGGTGTGGGGCAATAACAATGCTATGGATACAAGCAGGTTGTGTACCCTCCAACAGCAAAGTTCCATAGTTTAAAGAAAAAAGTTATATTTTTCACAAGGGCTTAGGCAGCATCATCTCAACAAACATAACATACAGATTGCCATTGAAAACTGTAATTTGAAGAAGATAATCCAACACAACAACAATAACAACACTACTAAGATACTAAAAATCCAGCTACAAACAGACAAGATTTGAATTTATTGATACTTTGCAGTGACATCATACTAGGGTGTTCTGCATGTATTTCTTTGGCGCAATGTTCAGCAGTAACTGCAGTAACTGCAATGCACACATCAGCAAACACTGCCAAATGTTTAGATTATCTGAAAACTCAAAAAAAAATCTATCTATCTATCTATCTATCTATCTATCTATCTATCTATGTATCTATGTATATATATATATATATAGAGAGAGAGAGAGAGAGAGAAAATGGATTCAAACAACAGCACAAAAACTGTTGGCTTGTGATTGTAATGTTATTTGGAAAGGACTTGTTTAACAGCACGAATCAGCCCATCTGTTGTACTTCCTGCTAAGTCAGTGCTTTCTGGTTGTTTCATTGTGTTTAAACAAAGCTTAAAGTCTAATTTGAGTAAGAGCTGTGCATCAGTTAGCAACACACTCTTAGAAAATGTTGAAAAAGTTTATGAAACAGTTCCTTCAATAAGTGTTCCGGCTGTAGAACTGGCCAGAATGAAAACGCTCAGTGACATTTGTAAACCTGCTGCACCACACTGGCTTTTATTCACTGACAAATCGCTGTGCCAGGGTAAATAAATGGAACATCTTTATACAACAAATATGATTTCGCCTTCTCTGTTGTTATTGCATTTCTTCAGTCAATAGCCCAGTCCAGATTTACAGGATTTTTAAGGGAAAAGGAGGCACGAGGAGCGGAGCCACTTTTGAAAATGAGCTGCAGAATTGATATGTTGTCAGTGTTTAGTAGTGTATGGACGATGACACATGGCTCAGGGCTTGGCTGGACTGGCCTCTTAAGATTCCTACATTTATACACTTATTGACTTTGTGCTCAGCTCCACAGCTCTGTCGACGAAGTGGATGACTGATGACGGCAGGTGGTACACTACACAAGTCTGGAGAAGGTGGGGTAATAGTGCCATCTAGTGGGAAAATAACGTGTAAAGCAGTGGGAGTTATGTAGTTCACAGTTAAACTTGTTTTAGTCCTATAGGCAAGGTTGGGAAGTAACTAAATATATGCAAAAAAATACATATTCTGAATACTAATTCTGAGCACCTGTATTCCGATAGATACTTTTTCATTTGGTGGTATTCTGAAGTACAGTATACACTTACTTTCTTATATTAAAAGGAATAAATGGCGGTAGGCTACTTCACTATACAATTTGGGCTTTGAACTCTCTCTTTTTAATTTTATGATGATTATTTATGTTTTGATTTGTTTTTATTGTGATTTTTATGTATTTCTTATTCTGTAAAGCACTTTGAATTACTTTGTGTACAAATTGTGCTATACAAATACTGCTGGGCATTAGTGCGGAAAAAAGAAAACACACATTTTGCACTGTATTCTTGTTATTATGCACCAATGTATGTTTAATTAAAAACAAACAAAAATCTAAAAAAAAAAGTTACAAATACATTTTAAATTAGGTATTCTGTAACTAAATACATTTTCATAGTATTCTTCCCATTATAGATTAGACCTGGTCATGCTATAGACCTGGTTTAGCCCTAGATTAGACCTAGAACAATCCTGTTATAGACCTGGTTTAGATCTGGTTTTACTCAGTGAGCCAAATCCTTTCTTTGGGGGTACTTGGTGTGAAAAGTTTGCGAGCCAGTGAAGACAACGCAAGGTTTGGTGGTAATGATTTTCTAAAATGACAATGGCCCATATACAAACTTTTCTAATGGAGTGTCCACCACCTGCTCGTCTCCATGGAGATGTTATTGCTTTGCCTGGAGCAGGGATCTCCAACCTTTTGCGTCCGGTGAGCTACCTTTACAAAATGAAAATGCCACAGAGTTACTCATTTTAGCAGCTGCAAGAAACTGATTTGATATAAGAGGGTAAGCCTTAGGTGTACAGTTAGATGCCTATAAAACATTAAACATTATCCATTTATTAGTGTGCAAAGTTCAAAATAACACATTTACAGTGGTAATGAATCAAATTTGAGTTATTTAGTACAATATGTATAATTCAGAAATCCTTTAGGGAGCTACTTGTAAGGTTGTGGAGAGCTACTGGTACAGTAGCTCCTGAGCCATAAGTTGGAGACCCCTGGCCTGGAGTGTTTGATGGAATTACTTTAAACATATCCATCTAGCATTTATTAATTACAGGTGTTTCAATTCTCAAAAATACAATTATTCCTACTGTTCACAGAAGCGACTCCACAGATCTGACGTGTAATGCAGCTCAGTGCTGTAACCTGCTTGTCTCCCTTAGGAGGTTTAGTCTGTACTGTGGAGCAATAATATTTCTATAGAGACAAGCAGGTGGCGGACCCTCCATGTTACGCAGTGCAAAATAAAAGGCTGTACTTTTATTGTAGGAAGTAGCAGTTTTGGGAGGTATCAACTGTAGGGTTGGGTACATTTTAGTTTTATTCTGCACTCATAGATAAAGGGGACATGTTGAGCAAAATCGACTTTTAAGCAATTTGAACTGTTATAATTGTTCTCCCTTGTCATTTATCCCAAGTATATATCCAATTAATTTTTCACTTTTCAAAAAATTCAGACATTAGAGAGTTGGTAGACACGACAGAGGATAACCAGCTCTAATTAATATCAACTTTATTTAGAAAGTCTATGAAGTCTATGAGAAATTTACTCCAAGAACAAAGCCTGGGTGGTCACTGTTGAGCCCCACTGAGATTCTTGTCTGTCTAATCTTTATTCTCCTGTAATCAAGACTCTATTGTTCCAAAGATCCCCGTTTTCACCCACCCTTGGTACACACTTTCCCAGGTCGCCATGATAAATGAGAACTCAACTGACCTTCCTGGATACATATTGAAATAATACATCAGATTATACAGTATGTTCTATGGGTAATACATTTAAACCACAAAAACAAGAGCAGCAAATAAGCTACAGTTTGCCCTTTTGTAATTTGGAATCGATCCAATGGTATTGGTTCAGTTGATATTGATACATGCCTATGGTCGAATGTTCAACAGTTACTATGTAGATACAATGCACACAGCAAAAACTGCCAAAAAAGTTACCAGATAGTCTGAAAACTCAAGAAAGAAATACAAATATAGTTACTAAATATTAGTATTGGTAAAGCTGCATCTGTGAATATTTTTAATCCAACCTTATTTTCACCAGAAGTTTGAAAACAGAAGACCTCTATTTTTATTAAAGTCTGGAGTGAAGAGTGATTTCTCTGGGTGTAGTCTGCAATATTACCACCAGATGGCACCAAAAGGTAAACCTGCAATTCTTGACACAGGACATTGAGAAAACGCAAAATAACAAATAAAAAGCAAAGCCAGTCAAGATTTTAAGACAATTAATCCTTTTATTGAAGTGTGCTTTTTCGATGAGGAGCCCATTCAAGAGCAAACCTTATCAGATCATATACATACAACACAATGCACTGGTAAAATGCTTGGAATGAAATTAGGAAGTTAAATACAAAAATTGTTTCTTGTCAGTTCATTGTACCATAAACATTTGTATCTTGAAACATGCATCTGATTCAGAGGTAATTTTGTATGGAAATGGCAATTTGTTTCATCAGATCATGGATTTTAAATGCTGTTGAATTCCAATATTCAAGAAGACATAAGCAAGCGATACTAAGTGAGTTGATATAACACTGACAAACAGGAAATGCTGAGGGAAACCAATCTGGTCAAAATTAACCAAATCAAAACCTCATGTTTTTTCAGTGCCTCTTATTTCTCTTTCCTCGCTTCCTTCTCCTTGATTCCTCTCCTCGATTCCTCTCTTCGATTCTGCAGGAAATGGGTAAGGAAGTTCCACCCACAGAGGAGACACAGGGAGGAGAGAGGATATAAACTCCTCACAGAGACCAATTAAGTTTAATTATTTTGGCTGATGTCTGCCTCCTGAAGCGTCCCTCATGTTTACTTTCATGGTTTTCTTGGGGACACCACTTAATATGACACATTTGAGTGACAGCTGAAAAATGGAGGATCAAGGAGAGGAACCAAGGAGAGGAACCAAGTAGAAGGAAGCGAGGAAAGCGAAATGAGCTGCGGCCCAAGATTCTTTAATTATGTGCTCTGCCCACAGAAGAGAACAGGCCAACAAGAAACAACCTGCCTCTGCCCTCAGTTATAGTCAATTATTATTATTATTATTATGAAAATAATTCAAACATGATGAAACAAATTCCCTTTTGTAAAGAAAGTTAATAAAATGTACAGGAATGGTCTGGAAGTTTTTCAAGCATAAAAAATCCCTTTTTTCAGTTATAAAAGTGTTCCACAAAAAAGGGAATATGAGAATAAAGTGGTCAAGTGCTATTCAACTTTCCTTCAACAATTATATACAAATTAAAAGTCTATATTATTAACATTTAAGATTAAAATAATGTCATTATGTAAAGAAAAAGAGTCAAAACGATTGAACTCAATGTATTGAAATGGTTATGATTTGTAAAATCTGTAAAAAGTGCATCTTAACATGACTTGTGCTACTTGTGCTGCTCTGCCCTGTCAATTCTTATTTCTGGTAGGTCCAAAAATAAAGGGCAGGTGTGAAATGAAATGACCAAACTGAATATCCACACATACAGCATACAGAGAGAGTTGTGTTGGAGATTTGGTCCATAAAGTCATGTGGACATTTGTGGTTTCATATTGCATCTACTAATAACTAATAAAATGTTTGCTATCAACAAAATCCATTATTCCTTGTTCATTTGTGCAGAAAGGTGAGATGATCAGTTTTGTGCCATGTTGATAAGGTGAGACATCTACATTTTACTAAGTGTCTATTGTAGATTTTAGCTGGAATGTGAAATTGAAGACTATGGTATGCATGGTACAGAGTTGTTGTGTTGACAGGAATATAAATGGTCATGTTGAATACAGCTTACAGCTAAAAATATCCATTATTTTTTATATTCTGGAATGGTAGGTCTCAATTAAAGGGGCATTGTGTATTTTTAGCTGGAGGGGAATTCCTTATATTCTTCATGGACATGTTGTTGTTTGCCTGGTGTGTTCCACAGTACAGCATAAAACTTGGCAGTTGTCCAATGAGATTCATTTGGTCTTCTGATATTTTATGCTATTAGGTTCTTTTTACAGACCAAGAGTTTGTTTTCATACCTGACAGTTTGGACTGCTCACTAGCGCTCTTCCTCAGAGTGGTCACGTGATGTTACTGTGACGTGTCCGGTCAGCTGATTTATACAGCTTCTGGCGCTGTTGTCTTGCCTCCACCGGTAGGAAGACCAGTCCAAACTGTCAGGTATGAAAAACAAACTCTTGGTCTGAAAAAAGAACCTAATAACATATAAAACTTGGCAATTCTCCATGGACACAAGCAGGGGACTCAATAATAGTCAATAATCACTTATAAAATGATGTTAAATTTTACATCTTCAACAATTTTTGATAAAAAAAAAATAGCATATTAAAAAGGGGCACTTAGTAACATTTCTGATGGAAGGTCTGCCACCTACTGCCACCTGTTATTGCTTAACCTGAAATATTCTAAAGTATGGCATTAAACGTGTCTATCTCTATGGACATAAGCGGCTCATAGTAAGAGGTTTTAAATTTTTTACACAAAATTTCTTTGCACCTATAAATGATGCAAGATCGATACATCTGATGCTATACTGTGGAACATGGCAATGCGACAACATGCCCAGTAGGAAGCAGACCCTCCACCAGAACAGTTACACCTTTAAAAAATAGTTATTTACTTTGCCCCATTTTAGGATCTTGTAGTGTAATTTGTTTATGGACTTTTTCCCATTCAAATCATAAAATATTTTGTTAATCGCTATAGCAACAGGTCCATAGGTTCATTATTTAAACCCATAGATACTGAGCTCTGCGCCCTCTGCTGGGTCAGGCGGAGCGTCTGTAGCAGGCCTCCTGGTAGGATGTCGCATTCACTACACTGAACATGTCTCTGCGCACGAACGACAGGAAGTTACTCAGAGGGCAGAGTGGCTGGTTACCGTGACGACTGTGCGATTTACAAAACGTGGTATGAAACGTCACGTCCTCTCCGTTGTAAAGGACGCGGACAAAAACCTCACCGTCTTTTGCCTTCTCTCCTCCTTTGGCTCCCTTCTTTTTCGGAAGCGTCACCGCCGGACTTTTCCACAGTTCGAAAACCACTCGGGCTGCGAATCTCGGAAATCTAGCCTGCTCCAATCCCAAAGCGCTGAGCAGGGGAGCCATGGTTACATCATGAGCGGAGGACAGCGAAAAAACCTCTTCTCCGCCTGCTCTTATTTGTCGTCCCATCTCATTCGCTTTTGCAATACGCTCCATTTTAGTCGCAGTCCGATTCAAGTACGGGTACATGGCTAAAACGGCGTACTTCCTATACAGTCCAACTTTTCTCCGATCTATTTCGTCTACGAGCTGCTGCTTTCGGATAACTGCGAATTGCGCCATGGTCAGACAGCCCCCCATGCCCCCCTCGCTTGGTGGGACACATGGAAAGGGAATACCGTGGCACAGATGGCACAGTAAGGAGTCTATGGGGTTTGCGGCGCGGAGTTGGCGAGTTGGTACGCCTAAAGTTCTCGCCATCTCAGCGTAAGTCCTCTCCAGTTCGGCGTTAGCGACTCGTAGCCGATACTGTCTCCTCTGCTCTTCGTCTAAATATTTATTCCTCGCGGGACAGTCACAGGAGCCGCTGCAAAACAAAGTGCTCCACTGGTGTCGTACGGTGAGTTTGGTCCAGTCGAAATCCGGGAGGAGGCCGTACAGGAAGGCCATGGCGCTCTGCAGGGTGCGGCTCTTACCTGTAGTCTCCACCCACACCTGCCGAGGCGACCAATCAGAAGGCAGGAGGGAGTGGTGTTTGTAGGCGTCGTGGAGGAGTTGGCCATTTCGGAGATGCTGCACCACACCTGAACAAAAGAAGGGGAATGATAAAGACATGTTAAATGTATTAATTTATGTTAAACTATTAAATATATCTAAATTACTATATATAATTAGTTTACTGTTGTCATGATACTAAAATTTCAAACTCTATTTTGATACTAAGGAATTTACTCATTACTTGCAGATTACAAAAGCACAATGAAAATAAAAAATTTTTCATTTATAGTTAATCTTTCAAATAGTTTTGATAAAGCTCAAAATCATATTAAAACAGTTTAGGAAAGCTCAACATGTGTCCCCTTACTGTGATTTGTAGCATTGTAGCATCAGTCCTTGCTGAAAATGAGTTTCTAGTTTCGATATTAGTTTTAATTAATCGATTAGTATGTGATTTTCAGTACTTTTGATAACCCTAATTTAGATAATAATGAACCAAAAAACATTAAATAAGAAAAAATCTAATCAAAATTTCACTCTCTCGCTCTCACGCTTTGAATATAAAGGGAAAAAAATTGAAAAAAGTGCAAAAATAAATACATCCACATTATTTTATACAATATATACATTATACTGTATTTAGGAGATGATTTTACTTCCTGTTTGGTCTTGAGTGATTTGATGGTACCATCTTTAATGGTAAAAAAACAGAGTCCTCCTGCCCTGATCATTAGCACTCTCTATTCATTTCCCAACATATTACTTAAGATAATAAGGCACTGTATAGACCCGCTGTTACAGTTGTGAATGTTGTTCTAAGATATGCAAAATATGATATTGTTATTATATGAACAACTCAAAATACTCCAAAAAGAGGTGATAATAAATTCAGATGGAACATATTATGTTGTAATCTTTGAAACCAGAGTATAAAGTAATACATTTAGAGTCCTTTCACATTTGTCTGAAATTGCCTTATCTAATACATGTAAAGATGTTGTTTAAATTGACATCAAATATGTCAAAAGATCTCATTATATTTATCATGTTAACAAATACAGCTGAGTCCTTACCGGTCTGTGTGAGCTCTCCGATGTCACAGGAGCTGTGGTTGGGCAGACGAGGCACAGTGCTCAGAGGAGAGTCCCAGTGACCACGCCCCCCTCTGGCCATGTGAGAGATGAACCCGGCCAGCAGCGGGTGGGAAGGGTGTCTGTGGAGGACAAGATAAGGGGAAAATAAAGGTTAATAATAATAATAATTAACAAACAATAAGAAGCAATAGAAAACAGTTGAAAAATTTGACAGAAACAAATGGAGTATGGTTAAGAAAGCATAATGAGTTTGAGAATAATAATACATTTTTGTTGACTATTGTTTGAAAATTAAATTAAAAGAAAATTTCAACCAGACCAACTGTTTTATTATTATTATTATTAGAGTTAAAAAAAGCCACATTCAAGAAACTGAAACACTAACCATCAATCCTCCTAATTTAAACTGAAATAACTGATAACAAATACATTTCCAAAACATAATACTAGTATTGTTACAATGGTTAATTTCAAACTCAATACAATATGATATTCAACATTAAAATCATAGTATTTTCTTTTATATTATAATGTGGTGTACTATCTGTGTACTCCCTCAGTCATACATGTAGATTCCACAGTGGTCCATGGGCGTGTAATAGTCTATGTGCTCTGTTCTGATACAGCTCAAGTTGATCTAATTTCGATACTAGTTTTAATATCAATTAGTATCTAACTTTCAATACTTTTGACAACTTTAATAGATACTTAAAATTTGCATCAAGTTTCAATACAAGTTTTAAAACTGTTTAGTATCTGGGTACTGATGTATTCAAAAACTTTATTGTGATCACTGCATTTTTGTTTCTTGTGTGCAATTCTCAATATCCACCACCAGATGTCACCCAAACACCACACAACTTCATCAGTATAAATTCTTTTTCAATATGCGTGTGGGCGGGCTGGGATATGGGACCAGATATAAATACATCAAAGAGTTTATTGCCTAGGGATGGACTGGTCCTGCACTGTAAAACAGACAAGTTCAGACAGATAGCTCATGGGGAGGAATCAGAAAAATGAAAAAGAGCATTCACAATCCCATAGATTAGATATGATTGAGATTACAGTTCAGTTTGACAAATCTGTGAAGCTTCTCTGGCTCAGATTAAAAAAGGAGCAGAGGAGGGAGGGGCTGCTCTGTTGCCATAGTGATAAGAGACAGATCCAGCGAGACGCAATGAAAATATGAGCCATGGTTTTCACAGCATCATCTGCATAAAATGAAACACAAGCTAAAAATAGACTCAAATGGACAAAATAGAAGATTTCTGAGAATAGTTCAAGATGACTGCTGTTGTCAATGAAAAGCAAAGTCCTGACAAAGATAAATAATCATATTTTTGAGCAGGTGAAATTTAAATATTTGAATTGCAATATCTGAAAAACTTAAACTGAACTTAAATAAAAACTTTTATTTTAGTTTGTGGCGTATTAATGATCTATTGACATTGACATCTATTTGATATCTATTTTACAGCACCAGTTCAGTTGGTTGAGCTTTTACCCACTAACTGGAAGTTTCGTGGTTTGATTCTCACTCCAACCTGAGAGCATGCTTTTGTGTCAATAGGCAAGATATTAAAGAGATGGGGTCTCCAGTGTGATCTTTGTAAATAAATAAATTGTATACTTTATGGCAAAATTAGACCATTGTGTGCTGTCTACAATAATAAACAATTTAATGCAAATACTTGGAAAAAAGAACTGAACGCTGAGAGCAGACTGTGCTTGGACAGGCCACTCAGTTTCACTTCTGAAAAAGCTGTTCCAAAGCTGTTAATGTGCCCCAAAAATTCATGCATGAGTCACAGTTAGACATTTAAATACCTACTTCCTCAGGCAAAAGCTTTAAAAACTATAATGTATCTCTGTATCTGACCCAAGCTGCACTCACAAGACAATACTAGGAAACAATGCATTTATATATAAATTGATTAAACTTATGAATCAATCAGTTTAATCAGTCTTTCTATATTTTAATACCAGTTCACTCACTCCTGTACTTCTCCTTTCTGAAATATTGTTCATCCTAAAATAATAATGCACCGATCCAGCTTTTTCAGCTCCGATACTGATATTTTGGCTTCAACTATCTGCCGATTCCTAATACTAACCAATACCAGTGTAGAAACAGCAGCACAGTTCACTTATTACAAAATAGATCAGTTATGGTATGTCATTGTTATTTATCTTGCAAGTCATGACAGAACAGCTTTGTATGAATAAAAGTTCAAACATGAGGCATCCAATTAAAGATCCAACCGGAATACTGATTCTTTGCAGAGACATCACACTTGGGGTGTTCTACATGTATCTATACTGGTGGAATATTCAGTAGTTATCATGGTGACACACTGCGCACATTAGACACTCTGAAAACTCAAGAAAAAAATACAAAAATACAAAATGGATATAAACAACACATTTTCAGGAACACATTTCGTAATCAATATGAGTGTTCATGGTCCTGCTTAAGTGTTTGATTTTCAACAAAAAGATGAGAGTGACAAACTGAAAAACTGTTGGCTGAGTGAGAGACCTGTTTAAGCACAAAGTACCTCACCTGATGTAGTTCCAACCTAGTCTGCTCTTTCCGGTCAGATTGTGTTAGAATAAGAATAAAGATAATATTAAGTCTAACTTGAGTATGAGAGCGTCTACCATAGTAGTGCTTTCAGTTAGCTTCACCCCCACAGATAATGTTGATAACATCAGCTGCAAAGTACCACTTGGCTTAACAGATATTATGGGACTGATAGCCGATCCAGCAAATTTTCCTGGATCGATGTCGATATCCTAGCCAGGCTGGCGCCACCTAGTGCCTCTGCTGAATTTCATTTCTCTCCAGCGACTAGGTCAGGAATCAGAATACACTAGACCGTTTGGAAGAACCTCGGAAGTTGTAGACCATGCACCGACCAATCAGTGAAGAGCTGTGAAGTCATGACGTCAAAATCAAGCGCATGTCTGGGTCCCTTTTGTGGTACAGCACAACAGTAAACAAAGAGGTCGAGATGGATATAGACGAAGACATACATTCTGTGTTGGCAATGAGTCCCAAGATCGAGGATTTAAAGCCAGAACAAAGAGAATGTTTGGTGAATTTAATCAAGTGGAAAGACATTATTGCCCTTCTTCCTACGGGATTTGGCGCATTACATATGTCATGACCAAATAGCAGTGATTGATTAAACAAAAAAAGTACCCGCCTACCATCGAGTGAACGAATTCTAATACTGCGAGGTCAGACGGTTTCCACAAAGTGAAACCAGCTGATGAATCAGGCTATCGATATCCGATACCAGTATCAGTATCGGTGCATTCCTAATAATTAGTCGACAAAGACCAAGTTTGGTCGTCGACAAAGACTCCATCGACCGATTAATTGACTAAATTACTAAAGGTCTCCAACCCTAGCTAAAACAGGTCTAAAATAGTACTAGGCCATTGCTACTGTTGTTCTAAAAGTCTCCAAAGGGGGACTAAAATGTGAATTACAAATATTCAAAATTAGGTTAACTGTAGTGGACCTTGCATGCAACCAGAAGGAACTCCGCTCTTTCAGCTGGTTTGTTTAGTTGTTGGTGTGCATGTCTTTTGTATAACACTCCAGTCACTTCCAATCAGTTGTGAATGACTTGAATGGCTGCCCACTGCCCAGACAATAACCATATTTCTGTATCATCTCCAGATTACACTGCACTGGAGACTCTGGGAGTGCATCAGGATTAAATTGGCCTCAAAAAGACACAGAGAAAACAAAGAGTGGACCCAAAGCCAGTCAGTCTGTCTGTGTATTAGGCTGATTGTCACTAACCAAAGAGTTCAGAGCGCAATTACATTAAGCAGGATTATATCACAGACCAGGCCGCGCAAAGGGGATTAGTAATGATGAGAGAGGAGCCAGCGCTGGGATGGGGGTCTGGAATATTGGGAAGCAAGTATGGAAGAAAGAGGAAAGATCCAAACTAGATCATAGACAGCTTACATGTTCATATTCATTAAAGGTGCATTCTGCAACTTTTCTAGTGGAGGGTCCGTCACCTGCTTGCCTTCATGGAGATGTTATTGCTTTGTCTAAAATGTTTCACAATAGAGATTAAAAATAATCTTTGTAATCATCAATTACCTTAATTGTAACCTTTGTGATGTGATAATTGCCCCAACTCACATTGCAATAATGATACGTTAGTGATATATGTGATATGTGTGCAGCCCTAGTAACAATTAAGAAGAAGAAACATAACAATTATATTAATCATAATTATTGACACGATACAAACTGAACCGAGATGACTTAATCTATTACACTGTTGTCACAATGCTAAAATTTCAAACTCAGTTTCAGTATTAAGAAAGAAACTCGATAGCCTGATTCATCAGCCGGTTTCACTTCATAAAAATCGTCTGACCTCACAGTGTTAGAATTCATTCGCTGCACAGTAGGCGAGTACTTTTTTATTTAACCAATCGCTGCTATTTAGTAAATAACAGTATTATTATTAAATAACAGTACTTTCATATAACCATGTGGTCTTATATCTGTGTAATCCCTCAGTGGTCCAGGTAGGTTCCATAGTTCATTTCTGTCCTAAGAATGTGACTTTTTTAGTAGTAGTTTAAATGCTAGTTTTAGTAACAATTAGTAACAATCTGATTTCCGACACTTTGACTATCCCCTATTTATTATTTTCATTTTAGAAGCAAAATTATTATTAGTTTGTTTGTATAATTATAATATGACCTGAATAATAACAATTACACACTAATGAAATTAATCTTGACATCCTCACAGCTGCCCTGGGACTGAATGTAGGATACGTGGCTACCAATCTGCACCAACTGCACAATTCACATCATACTTACACATACAATATAAAACACACACATACTTACATACACAATATATCTTTAAAAAGTTGTGTACTTTCTAGGCATGCATAAAGAAAGTACTTTACTGATATTGGATATTGGCACCAATACTGAAAAATGTACTGGATCGGATATTCCCTGCCAAATATCGGTTCAGCTAATATCCTGATTGGACATATACATTTGTAATAAAACATTTTACTGATCGTATTTGCCCCAGAACGTCCCAATTGTTTGAACTTTTATTTATGCAAAGTTGTCCTGGAATTACTCGAGGGATAAATAACAGTTACATAACCCATTTGGATCAGTTCTGTCTTGCATTTTATTTTTGCATAAAGGAAGTAGATGCTGTTTCCAGTCTCTGTCCTAGTATGAGTCGATATCTGGTATCAGCAGACACTTAAAGCCATAGTATCGAAATCGGTATCGAAACTGAAATAGCTGGATCGGTGCATCTCTAGTACTTTCTCCAACTATAAAAGTATCATTTAGATTTATAGTGTACTGTTTATCTGGAGGAAGAGAAAGAGGAGAGAGGATCCCTGCTGAAAAGAGCTCAGTAAAGACCAGACGGAGACAGTGGGTCGGCAGAGAGCTGGTGCCAGTCTACACACACACACGCATTACACACACACATTGCACACACGCATTGCACACACGCATTGCACACACATTACAGACACATTACGCACACACACTATAAAACGCACACGTACACACAGAATCAAAGGCACGCACACATTGGTTTTCCGTGCTTGTTGGGGACATTACATTGGCTTGCATTCATTTCCTGGAGACTGGTGCTAACCTTAATGCCACAATATGTAACTTTTTAGCAAATAAAAGCATAGTTTTTCATTTATTTTGGTTAAAAAAACATGCATTCTTACTGTGAGTACTCGTTGAACCTAAACCTAATCCCTAACTGTAACATAGTTTAATCCATAACTGAATCTAAATTGTGTTACTGATTTAAAAAATAAAGAAATTACGTTGTGAGTACCTGATTTCTGTCCTCATATGTGACACAGGTCCCTATGATGTGAGTTTGTATATAGATTTTAGTCCGTACAATGTGATAAGTACCAGCCACTTTATACGCACACACTATAAAACAGACACACATGAACATTAAACACAGACACACAATGAAACGCAAACACACAGGGAGACAGCAGAGGGCAGATCTCCTGGACATACGCTGCTCCACACGCTTCTAATTACAGCCAGGTCTAAACAAACAAGGCCATCTGCTGTTTAAAGATAAGGTGCAGGCCTGTCAGCATGGCCAGTTTTGAAGTGAGATATATTGCTGAAGTAAATACAGACCGTAAACGATAATTTACGCCACTGATACAAAAACCCGAGAGCAGATTTAAACCACAAAAACTATTCTAAATCTACAATATTATAAAAAAATCATGAGCCGCGATGACAACTTGTGGTGTAGTTCCCGACACTGGGCTCGCCTACCATCTGTGATAAAACCCATTAAAGTAAATATAATCAGCAGTAAAATGAAGACCGCATACGTGTGCGCTGTTTGGAATCATGGTTGTAATTGTTGATTAGTCGAACACTACAATGACATGATGAAGAAAACTGTAGATGAAGAAAACTGACCTATTTTCTAATTTTTCCTAGATTTTGTCAGATTTACTACCACTAAGAAGTCATTGTATATTTCCCAATGTCTTCCTGGTAAGCATGAATAAAGCCATTTCAACCTTTTACAGCTTAAATCTTATCACATTGTCAAAAAATAATCAAAAATGTTGTAGTACAAAAAAAATTTGCACACAATAAATACTGACCCCCAAGAAATATAGTTCCAGTTTTCATACGTTGAACGATAGGTCGATATAGTAATTATCGTGACAGGACTAAGGTGCAACTTAAAAAAATCTTCACAGGTTTAATATAGCTTCTGTAATCAGAAATAGTTATGATACAAAAATGATCAAAAAATGTTAAAATGAGAGAGAAAACAATTATAATGCCGATTTATTTTTATTTACAAAATCATTGGATGTGATGACAAAGTTGTTTACGTTCTAATTTGATGCTTTGGTTGGCAAGACAATTATCCATTCAGAAAGCAGACTGAACCTCACATCTGTTTATCATTTGGGTTGCCAGTTTCATTGCTGAAATCCGGCTGGTTTAAACCTAAAAGGACTGACTCTGATCTGTATGGTCGCGACATAAACCCCAGCCCCTTCACTCAATCATGAATCATCGCTAGTGCAGTCTTTTGTCAGTTGGTTTGTCAGTGCTACAGTTTTCAGTTAGATCTGCTTATGAAATGTTTCAGTAGAAGTCACAATACTAAAATTTCAACTCAATTTTGATACTAAGAAATATACTTAATACTCAATGCAGACTACAATACAGATAACAATACAACAGAGAAGATCTGAAATAGAATGTAGCTGTCAAACACAAAATATTACTTTCAAAGTTTTACAGACATTCTGATAAAACTCAAAATCATACTTACTCAGAAGTGTTTAGGAAAGCTCAAATTTTGCATTATTGATACCTGCTCAAATGAGTATCTAGTTTCGATATTAGTTTTAATATCGATTAGAATCTGAGTTTGAAATAGTGCTTTATAGGTCAGCTCAAATCCCTTTGACATTCTGTGGCCTTTCCTCTGAGCTGGCTTCATTATAACAATGATAAAAGCTCTTATCTGGACACGTGCTCAGGGAATATTAACAGTATTTTATTGTTTCATCCAATGTTTTAATCTTTTCAATTAATGGAAAACACTGATTCTAACCTGGCGGCATCTGTAACGAGAAAGTAAAGCAAAGCAAACAGAGCAGAGGTGGAACCAAGTCTTTGTTTTGAAAGTCTCAAGTAAGTCTCAAGTCTTTGACCTCAAGTCCGAGTCAAGTCTCAGGTCAAATACAGGCAAGTTCAAGTCAAGTCTTGTCAAGTTGTCTGCTTTGAGCTTAAAGTCATTTCAAGTTTTTAACCAAAGTACCAAATATAGAGTAAATTTTTGCAATTTAAATAACTTTTAAGATAAACTGCACTTAAAAAATCATAGTATATTTATATAAGAGTATTTATAGAGTATGTAAGAGTTTAATAACATTCTATTTAACTAAATACAGATAAAAATATGTTTACTATATTACAATGAAATCAACAAGCAGCTACTAGTTTTACTGCATTTAGAATATACTGTATGTAGTAGTAGTAGAAAAAACTGTAGAAACTGAACTGTAGAGTGGTAGAAATAGTTTAGTTAATTTTTCCTTTTTAAATGTCTTGACAAGATCTTAGTGAATCATTATGGTCAGAATAGAAAGAATTCAGGTTTAAAAGTGCTTCTCAAGTCTTCTCAAGTCACAGGCCTCAAGTCCCAAATTATTGCCCTTCAAGTCCAAGTCAAGTCCCAAGTCATAGTTCATTTTATTAAGTCAAGTCTCAAGTCCTAATAATAGTGACTCAAGGCTGACTCGAGTCAAGTCACGACTTGCAAGTCCCCACCTCCCACACAGAGTAAGGTAAAAGGTGAATGGCTGGGCCCACCAATGGAAAAAAGAGATAAAGAGAAGTCTAAAAAAATATACTGATATGAAGAGTTGGGCAATTAAATATTAACTATTATTCCTGCTACATAAATAAGACTACTATTGATACTTTGCATCTGATGTCATCAACATTCCTTGAGGGTGTGATGCTAACTGTAGGCAATCTGTCTGACTTAATCTGGGTTTTATTTTAACCCTCTCAGGCTCAAATTAATTTTTAGTATGAGGAAAAATCTGATATTTGGGGAAAATTATAATATGGGGTAGTAATATACAATCCTGACTTTTTTATCCTTTGTGAACAAAAAAAGTATTTTGCACTTCTGGCAGGCCGTTTGCGTGGAGCCATTCTTGCACAGTCTGCATCGTCCACGTTTATCAGCATGGATGGGAGAAAAGGCTCCTGAGTAAAAAAAGTTAATAAAATATGGATGTGGAGTAAGTAGGTAATTGGAATTTAGCTGTTGCAAATCTGCAACGCCTGCCTGGAGAGGGTTAACACAGTCTGGCCAGAAAGTACTAAGGAACTACAAATCTTATCTGTTATAAGATTTGTGCTGTTAAATCTTAAAACTTTTTCATTTGTTTATGCGTGCATTGTGTCACCATGGTAACTAACATTCTGCCAATAGAGATACAAGTGCTTGTTGATATTTCTTTTTTTATATTATTTGATCTGCTGATGACAAATAAACTGTGATATGTTGTGCACTGTACCTGTTTGGAGACAGAGTGCAGTCGATGGCCGGGCGTTTGGTTTTGGGAATGGAGTAGAGCGGGTAACGGTCGCCATGGCGAATCATCACCTGAACAGACAGCAGCTTGTAGTCTGCCAGACTGTGACCTGTGAAAGGAGAGAAATTTGACCTGTAACTGGGCCTGGTGGCATCGCTTCCCTCAGTAGATAAGTTTAATTCCATAGTGTGCAGCATTCCAGTTAAAGCAGTAGCATTAGTACATCCAAGGAGACAAACAAGTGATAGACCCTCTACTAGAAAAGTTACATAGTGTACCTTTAAAGGGCCATATTACAGTATTTTCTGATCTATATTATGTTGTTTCCTCATCAAAGTATACCTGGAGTTGTGTTTTGTTTCATTCACATGTTTAACTTTAACACACAAACCTGCATATTTAGGCTGGGTCCTTCTCTCTACTTGTGATGTCATGTGGTGATACAGGAAGTGCTTCACTGTGTTTTTAAACTCTCAAGGATAGCTGCACATCACACTAGCAAGCAGCCTTTTTTTCCTCATTTGTTTGTTGCTTTAAGATGCTTTTTAAAATGTGTTTTTTTTTTTTTTTTTTGTAAAGCATCTGTAATAGTCCAAACAGTGTTATATACTTCTGATGTCTTACTCTAATTCTATCCTAATTCTATTTGAGAATTATGTCAAGATTATCATCATTGTCCCATATGTTCCACAGCAGGAGAAAAACAGACTTGCTGCTGGCATAACTAAGGGAGGAGGCAGTATACTTGAATGGCCCCAGGCGCTGGTTAAATGGTACAAAATAACAGTGTTGTGTTTTGGAGCTGAGCCGTTATATGGATGATGTAATTCACAGGAAACCTTATAATTAGCCTCTCCCAAGGCCCTGGAACAGTGCATATGATTATTACTGCTATTTTAAGGATTCATTTGCAAGTGAGAGACAATCAGATTCCTTCATATTAACCAAGTATTTAAAAAATCCCTTCTTGCGTTACCAGTGAAAATCAGATATTTGGTGCTCATGAGAAAGACTAACAATGCTGGTATACTGAAGTGTGCAAATGAACACAACTGTATAAGATGGTGATATCTTTCATTTGTCTAGAAGTGATTCAATGTAGACACGGGTTCAGTGGTCGTCATCTGGACATTGTTTTTTAACAGTGCAGGTCAGTTTCACTCTAAAACTCCTCCCTTTGGGGCTGGATTTAGTAAATTCAAGTTAGGATGAAGCCCAGTGCTTTTAAGACAGTTCCATCAAATTGAAAATGGCTGAATCTGTCTCTACACAACTCCAAGTATCTTCATAGAGACAAGATGGTGATGCCAGGCCAAGTTACAAGTCAGATCTGTGGAGAGGTGACTAGTTTGTGTATTGTTTATGCCATACTGTGGCTGTGCAAACCAATACACTTTACATTATATGCAAAGCAATAATATCTTACATAGTGCACCTTCAAAAAATTAAAAAATAAAAATGTAATAATAAAAAATGTCCTCATGTTATTTTATTGCTGTTTGTGTGAATGTTTTAACTACGTGCTGAACTTTGTTGTCTCTTAGCCAGAACTCCTTGAAATACAGGTTTTATATCTCGGTAAGAATCTCCTGGTTAAATAAATAATAATAATAAACTATCACCCAACTATGGAACATAACTCTACTGTGTATCTTACCTTCCCATGCCTGCTCGGAGCGGTTGGGAGTGTTGCAGTATCCGTAGGCCTCGGACACTGGCTCTGGCTCTTCTGTGTGAGCGACTGGAGCCGGAAACACCCTCTTCCTGCTCTTCCCCTGAACCGATCCTCCCTCTGCTGCCTGGTACTGGCGCCCCTCCAGCCCTGCTGCGCTGGGCATCAGGTTAACTGGAACAGAGTATTCTCAGTCAGGATTAATGGTTCAAACACATCTCACTCACAGATTAAATATGGAGTTCAACAAGGCTCTGTGTTGGGTTCACTTCTTTTTTCCATGTATTTTTACTGAAAAATTTGAAGGATTGGGTATTGGTTCCAGGATATCGGATAAGCTGGTACTCTGTTAGGGCCTTTAATTGGATGTAATAAGACTATTTAGAAGTTGATTTTGGCCTAGAACGTCTCATAATGTTTAAACTTTTATTCATACAAATCTGTTTAGTAGTCATTTGAAGGATAAATAACTGTTACATAACACAATTTGATCTCTTGTGTAATAAGTTAACTATGTTTAAAAAAGAAAGTGCCATTTTCCATCTCTACACTGGTATCAGTTAATATCGCGTATCGGCAGATTGTTCAAGTCAAAGCATTAATATTGTGTCAGAAATCTTATGTACATGCCACAACAGACTGAATTAATTACAGCACTGCATCTCATACCAGCCTGATTCATCAGCTGGTTTTAATTCGTTTCACTTCGTACCGTCTGACCTTACCGCAGCCTTAGATTTCATTCGCTCGACGGTAGGCGGGTACTTTCTATCATTTAACCAATCGCTGCTATTTGGTCATGACGCATGTAAAGCGCCACTAACGGGCCAACTGGTATATTAAGCTTTTTCCCAAATCCCGTAGGAAGAAGGGCAACAATGTCTTACCCCTTGATGAAATTCACCAAACATTCTCTTTGTTCCGGCTTTAAATCCTCGATCTCGGGAATCATTGACAACACTGAATATATCACTCTTCACTGATTGTCTTTTGCCCGAACTTGCACTTCACGGGGTTTTTACGAACTGTCTATTGTATTTTGATTCCTGACCTAGTTGCTGGAGAGAAATGAAATTGAGCAGAGGCACTAGGTGGCGCCAGCCTGGCTAATCTCATACATTAAATCCTAAAATGTAATAACAAGAAGTCAGAAGTGATTTAACTGGTCCATCCAATTCTGTGAACAATCTCTCTATTTATCTAGGAAGTGGAACTCTATCCAATCCATCTATCTGACAACCTCTGGACATTGTCACCACTACTACATAGATAGTACCCACGATAAATATTAACACTTCAAAATTAACAAAATATTAGTAATTGTGACAGGTTTAGCGCCAGTATACAAAAGGTGAGAACTTATAGTTGTTATGGCTCTCACACAGGCTTTCACTTATATATGCAGGAAATGACATAACCACTTTGCTCTTAATTCATCTCCATGTGAACAGCTCTAGGCCGCGAACCTACTCCGCACCGAATGTGTTGCCTAGACACCAGTCACCTACGACCTTTTAGAGAAAACAGCAATGCATTGTGGGAATTCTAATCAAATCGCAAATAAAGAAGCAGAACCCAAGTGCCTCGAAGTCTACCAGCCCCGGTGTAAGAAATCTAAGTGCAATGTGAACTGAGCAATAGTCAATCGTGCTGCAGAAGGCCAAGACAGGATTCGATTAATCAAGGCGAGGGATTGGGTTTTGAGTCTGCTAAAGTCTGAAGTTACAGACCTTTAGTTGTACCTTAAGTAACATTTAAAAATACTAACCTACCTTTGAAAAGTGAATTCAGAACAAAAAGATCCAAATGCTGTTCAAAAGGCTTGTATTACACCATTTTCTGATCTATGTTATAATGTTTCTTCATCATAAACATACTTTGAGTTTTCTGTGGTTTCATTCACACATGTTAAACACACACAGCCGATATATTTAGGCTGAGTTCTTCTCTCAAACAGAAAACACTCTGTTCAACCATGTGAAGTAATGTGGTAATCCAGGAAGTGCTCCACTGTGTTTTTAAACTCCATACACCTTCACTGGAATCATTTGGATGGTTTCAGCCCCGGAACTGCCAATCTCTACTGAATAAAAGGTAAAAGGTAGCTGTTAACTTGATTTTGAGCTCCCGAGATGTAGACAGACTAAAAATAAAAGATTAGGCAAACACGTGTGAATGAAACAAAACATAACTCCAGGTATGTCCTGTCAGTTGAAGTGATTTTTGTCTGTGGCAACAATGGCTACAATGTTAATAACATTCCAATGTATAAATGTATTGGAAACTTGCACTGAAAGCATAGTCTAGGTATTGAAGTTGGCTGGTTCATTACTAAAAAACAAGAATCTGTTCAATGTTGATTCAGTGACTGTCAAACTTTTAACACAAAATACCACCTCAAAAACATTGGCAAACATCTACAACAGTAGTTTCAAACTCAAATTCACAGAGGGCCAAAATTAAAAACTGGGACTAAGTCGTGGGCCAAACAAAATTTCAAGAGCATCTGCATGTTTTCTCTTCTTTCGAGATATGTAATGTTAAACCTTTTCTTATTAAAATAAATGTGTTACAATAGTTTTGCTTAAAGATTGAATATAGAATCCAGAACAAGTATAATATAAAATAATAACAAAATTTAAAACACCGTACATAATGTCTCTATAGCCTACCTGAGGCTGAGGAAGTCTAATAGATATTTGATATGATCTCGCGGGCCAAATATAATTATATTGTGGGCCAAATTTCAAAGTCTAACATGTCTGATCTACAACATTAATTCTATCTTAACTAAAACTGGTCTAAATTTGGACTGAACCAGAACCAAACCAGAACTCTCGGTAAATACAGTATTCACCTGTGCAAAGACTGAAAAAATGTGGACTAAATACACAGGAAAGAAATTAAAAATAACAGCACAAGAAGCAGATGGGCCAAATGTGCCAAGTGTTAAAACTATAGCTTTAACAGGATGCATTCACTAACCAGTCTAAACTAGGACTGAACAAGAAGAATTTAACAAGATTTTTTTTTAACCACGACCCCAATGAACTTCACTAAAGCAAAACCACTCTAGTGCACAGGAGAACTAGAGCTAGACAACACAGTTAAAGCCTTACACAAATAATTATGATTAAACTTATGTATTCAGTACCATCAGAAGAATGTACTGTATAAATGTACTTATATTCAAAACTGTGGTATAAACTCACCCAGGATGAAGAAGGCAGTTGCAAGCTTGGTGACAGGGAGCATTTTGGTGACTGCCTGGTGCTTGAGCTGCAGCCTTTTCACACTATGGTTCTTTTCATGAGTTGGACCTGTGCCTCCCCTCCTCCTCCTCCTTCTCCCCTCATCCCCCCATTCTCCCCTCCTCTCTCTAGCCATCACTCTGCCTCCCTCTTCCTCTCTCCGCCCTCTCCCATCATCTCTTACCCTTCTCTCTCCTTCTTCTCCTCATCTCTTCCTCTCCTCTCCTCCTCCCTTTTCACCTCCAATGTCTCTCTCTCTCATGCTTTCCTTCTCTTGCCCTCTTCCTTTTGCCTTTCCTCCTCTTCTCCCCCCCTCTCTTCACCTCCCTCATCTCCTCTCTCCCCTTTGCCTCCTCCTCTCCCCCTTCTGCCTCCCCTTCTCCCTCATTCTCACTCTACCTCCTCTCTTCCCTCTTCTCTTCCTCCCCTCCCTCTCCACCTCTCTCCCCTACTGTCTTCCGTTCCTCCTCTGTCTCTCCTCCTCTCCTCCCAGTCTCTCCCCTCTTCCTCTCCCCCCCTCTCTCACACGCTCCACTGCCGGGCCTATCCAAACTGACGGGGCCCACTCGGCCTCAGCACAAAGAGGCTTTTGTAAAACAGCCACCAACTTCACCAAGTCCGTGCGGCGCAAAGACTATAGCGTCATACTTATTAGCGACTTCTGGTCAGCAGCCAAAAATGGTACTCAAGCAGGCCACTGTCATGCTAAAATAACAGCCCAATAAATTAAATAAATATTAAAAAGTGAATAATAAGTACAAATAAAATAAATAAATAAAATTATGCTGAGTAAATATGGTGTACTCTGGTACACAAAACTGTTATCATAGAGAAGGCAAGTCCACAACAAACTAAATTTATATATTACTTTTGTATAATTGTAAATTAGAGCTGTGTAATTAATCAAATTATAATCAAGGGATCCAATCATAGCTAATTGTCAATATTCTGCTTGATTTGAAAGGAAGAAATTTGACTTTTTCGTGTTAAATGTCAATGGCTGTAGTTACATGCACATTTTGCAATTTTAAATGACATTTAAACATCAAAATTCACTTTTTTTGTGATTATGGGCTCCCTCAGATTTTTTGGTAAACATGATGTCATTCATGTGATTTTAAAGGTCTAGAAATCAGATAATCATTTTGGTGAGGATCACAGTGACTAAAAGTCTGTATTCTTTAAATTTAAAGAAAGTTAAAGATTATTGAATCCCATTTTGATGTTGGTTTAAATAAGAGAAATTACAACTGAATAAACTGTAAACATGATATTAAAATATAAATATGTATATTTTTTTATTGCTCAGCCATATATGCATAGGTTACTACAGTATATTTTCATTTTATACCACTATACGACTGTTCTACCAAATGAAAACAATATACAGTATATAAGTATAAAATATTGAATTTCATCTCCATGATCTTTCAAACAGTGCGTGGGGACAACGGCTCGGCTGAAACAGATTAATGTTTCTTTCGGATCATTTAATTAAGATATCTCCAAATCCAGGATCTGCTGATAAGCCCTGGACTCGGCTGGATCCAGTCCCATACAAGTGTGCACAGATGTTATTATCAGAGCAAGAGATCAGCTATGGGTCAAATACTCTGCAAATACATTTCATAGAAAAGGATGATTCAGGTAAAAAGTGTTGATTGGGATACAGAACACACTCTTTTTCAGTACTTGTTAAGTTAAGAGTCTGGTCACTGTTGAATTTCCCCATTTTTAGATCGGCATGATTGACAGTTGGATCAAGGACATGCATGCTCCATCTGTATCACAACAAATATGGCTACTTACGAGGAAAAAAAAGAAAAAATATATAACAAGGGCCTTAAAAACACTGTAGATTTCAGCTGAGTCAATGAGCGAAGCACTAAACTCTAAAACACTAATCTGAGCTGAGAGAAATGC